TGCCAAAGGCTGTTTTGCAGCACAAAATCAAGGTATGAGGCCGTGCCCTGCCTGGGTGACCCAGCAGAATGTGATGGACAAGGAACATTTCTGTCTGTGGGTTTGTTCTCACCTTGGTGCCTGCTGAGGGTGGAGGTGTCACAGGGAAGGCAGATCCCTGCTGGAAATTGAGCAGGGATCCTCCTTCCTCCCTCCCAGCCCAGCCCCTGCCTCCACTCAGTGATGGCCAGAGCAAAGGCAGACCCCAAGTTTGGGGAAATCTTCCGCTTCAACACCCCCGTGCTGATGTGGGACCAGCACTTCACCCTGGAGACCTGGAACAGGCTGAAGGCACGACACGTCCCCTACGGCTGGCAAGGCTTGTCCCTCGCAGGTACAGACCCAGCTGGGATGTGGGGCAGCTTGAGGGGACTGGGGAGCTCAGTAGAAGGGACTGGAGATGTGGGACAGGCCAGGAGCCCTGCAGAGGAGCCAGGAACGCTGATCTCTTCCCACCCCACCTCCCGGGGCACAGGGAGGGTGCGGCTTTGCAAACGCCTCTTGATGCATCTTGTGACATTTTCCCTGAATAAAAGCTCCAGTGTGTCCATGATTATTAACTGGGGCCAGAGGAGCTCGGACAACCAGCTCCATTGTTGTGCATGGAGATTGTTTCCCTTCCCACCCCAAACCCACTCTCTGTTGTCCCTGGCAGCTGCCGGCTTCAATCCCTGGGCTGGGAAGTGCTGGGAACAGCGAGCAGGGGAGAACCAGCAGTTGCTGAGACATTGTCAGGAGGGGATGTGGCCAGCACAGGCAGCAGCATCTGCAGGGCTGGGGCTGGAGATACCTGGATGCATCCCTGTGCCTTGCACAGCCTTGGGTGGCTGCTGTTTGTAGCAGGGTTAGGAACATGGCAAGATTGGTGACATCAGGCTGGGAAAGGAGGGCCAGTCTGGTGCCCCCATATCCCCCAGACCTCTCTCCCGCACGGGGCTGGTGTGAGTTTGTTTTCTTGTGTGCTGCTCCTGGCTGTGCCGTGCCAGCTCTGTGCATGCTGCTGCACGTGGGTTGACAGACACCTTTTCCCTGCTGACTGGTGACATCCTGCTCCATTCCAGTGGTGGGCAGCACCCTCCGGCTCCTCAACGCCTCGGCCAACCGGCACCTCTTCGACAGGGCCGCCTTCTCCGGGGGCTGTGTCCGCTGTGCCGTGGTGGGCAACGGTGGCATCCTCAACGGCTCGCGGCAGGGCAAGGCCATCGACGGCCACGACCTGGTCTTCAGGTGAGGATGAATCCCAGGCAGGGTGGGGCCAGGGGTGCTGGGAGATGCCAGCCCTGGACACGTGTTCTCCGCTTTTCCTGCAGGCTCAACGGTGCCGTGATCAAAGGCTTCGAGGAGGATGTCGGCACCAAGGTTTCCTTCTACGGCTTCACGGTGAACACCATGAAGAACTCCCTTATCTCCTACGAGGAGTACGGCTTCACCCAAATTCCCCAGGGCGAGGTGAGACCCTGAGGACTTGTTGGGGGGTTGAATGAAATTGTCCCTTCAGGCTGGGCTTGCTTCTGAGACCTTCTCCCCATCTTGGGAGCCCTCAGTCCTTGCCTGCAAGCGTGGGCAGTGTCCTTAAAACCCCCTCCAAGTGCCCTGTCTGTGTCCCTGCTGCAGGACCTGAAGTACATCTTCATCCCCTCGGATGTCCGTGACTACATCATGCTGAAATCGGCCATCCAGGGCAGCCCAGTGCCTGAGGGCTCAGACAAGGGGGATGAGTGAGTAGCTCCCCAGTATTTCCCCAGCACACCCGAGGCATGACTCACCTGTCCTCACCCCACATCTGTCCCTACTGGGATAAACCCCAAAGAGCTCCAGGACTCCCATGACAAAGTTCTGCTCTTCTCCTTGCCTTGCTGCAGGCCACAGAAGTATTTTGGACCAGAGGCATCTGCAGAGAAGTTCAAGCTGCTGCATCCTGATTTCTTGCAGTACCTGACAGCAAGGTGAGGGTGATGAGCACTGTGGCTGCTGTCTGGCTCTGCTCTGGGATGGGCTCAGACTGCCTCCCTCCCCCTCTGCTCATTCCAGTACAGACCAGTAGCTGCCCAGCATCAAAGTACAGTCCCAGTCTCCTCCAGACACTGGAACCACCCCTGCCCTGCTGTCTGCACACAAGGCAGAGGTGTCTCTCCCCTGCCACTCCTGCTCACTGCAGCACAGCTCACATCCCCTCCTATTCCTCCCTGTGCTCACCTTGCTCCCACTCCCCAAAACAAATTACATTTTGTCCCAGTCTAACAGGAGCAAAGGCAGGGCCCAACAGGATGGTCTTTTCCTGCCTTTCATGAAAGCAGGTGCCTGGGTTGGGATGGCTCCAAACAGCAGAGCAGTGCCTTTTACCAGCCTCTGAAGAAATGAGAGCAACCATCAGAGAATCCACCTTGAGCCCCGTGTTTCACTCAGTTCTCCTGCCTTACTGGGCACCGGCGTCACTGGGGAGGGCTGGGTGTGTGTGGGTCTGGGGGTGCAGGGCTGTGCCAGCCCTGAGCCCCACAGGCACCGTGTCCCCATCAGGTTCCTGCGGTCAGAGATCCTGAACACCCAGTACGGCTCCCTCTACATGCCCAGCACCGGTGCCCTCATGCTCCTCACCGCGCTCCACACCTGCGACCAGGTAAGGAGCCACAGGGCCACCGGTCCCTGGGGAGAAGGGAATCCCCCCTTTGGCTGCTGTGGGGTTCCAGCGTATCCTGGTGGCTGTCCTACGTGTCCCCTGTCCCTGAAGGGAGTGATGGTGGTGATGGACCACCCCAGGTGAAGCCTTGACCCTGTCCTGTCTGCCTCGCCTCCTTCCTCACAGGTCAGCGCCTACGGGTTCATCACGGCCAACTACGAGCAGTTCTCAGACCACTACTATGAGGTGGAGAAGAAACCTCTGGTGTTTTATGCCAACCATGACATGATGCTGGAGGCAGCGCTGTGGAGGAGCCTGCACCGTGCAGGGATCATCACCCTCTACCAGCGCTGAGGCCGGGAGGTCGCTCACAGGAGCAAGTCCAAGGACACTTGTGGCTCTTCTCCTTTTTCCTGAGGGTCACCTTCTCTCTCCTGAGGGCTCTTCCCAGCTGGTCAGCCAGCCCACGGAGCAGACTTGCTGCACCACAGCCAGCAGTGATGTGAGGATAATGGGGAATGTGAAGCTGGTGGAGGAATGTTGCATTTCCTCAGGGATCAGTGTGATTGAACGTGGCCTTTGGGGCAGCCAGAAGCACCACAGCACGTGTCTGTGCCCTGCCAGCCCCAGGAACATGGCTGTGGGGCAGCATGGCCCCTGTGGAGCACAGCAGGGCTGGGGTGGTGCTGGAAGAGGATGCTGGAGGTACTGGAAAAACCCTTCACCTTAAATGCTCATCACCATGGTGGGACCACAGCAGGAGAGATAAATCCTTGCACTGGAGACCAGGTGACAGGAGCCCTCTAGAAGGACTGCAGCAAGTCCCAGCTGCAGCCAGCTGTGTGGATGTGTGCCATGTTCCAGAAGAATCTGCCTTCCTGGTCAGTGGCACAGACAGCAGGACAGACACAGTGGCTCTGTCCCTGTCCCCTTCTTGAGCTCTGGTGTTTTCTGACAAGGCTCACAAGCCATCAGCTACGAGGGTCACAGCAGCTCAGCCAGGACACCAGGAACACGCCCAGGCCCTGAGCAGCCCAGAGGTGACACTGGCCTCAGCCCTCAGCCGTGTGTGTGGGGCACTGGGTTTGTCAGCCTTCCACAGGGGCTCTGGTGCCCTCTGAGAGGCAGCCCCACACAGGTGGGTCAGTGATGGTAACTCTTAATTTCCTTCCCCAAACCCCAGGGGAGGGGAGGGTCCTGAACCCTTCAGCTGTCCCTCATACACCAGCACTGGTCAGGGAGACCCACCTGGGGAGGCTTCTCCAGCTGCTGGGGGCTGGAGACAGAGCGGTGTAATCCAAGACACTTTCCCACTTTGTGTAATTACATAAATGTTGAATGATTGTTTTCCTTAACACCTGTTTCTGTTGTTTTGATGAACTGGGTGGGGTGAGACCTCCCCCTTTACCTCCTACAGCAGGGGATCAGTAACAGGGAATAGACTTCAACTGGGAACAGCTCCAGAGGCAGATGGGGATGGAAAGCTGTTTAAATCATGGGAGTCTCAGACTGGGAGACCTGTTATCAATGAGCACAGCCCTTTTCCACTTGGAATGCTATTTGCTGTACGAGGTTGATGTACAGAGATGGCAGAAGATAGCTTGGCCCTGAGCCAGGGAACCTCCAAACCCCCTGAAGCTCCCAGCAGGCTGCTTCCAGCTGGTTCACAGACGCAGGTTAGGCTCCAAGCCTGTTCCAGATGTAATCTCTAGCTTGGGGCCCATCTTGTGTTCCCACGTTTCAAATTAACCTTTGTTCCCATCAGAGCCACCTTACACTGGTACCACACCAGCCTGTCAGGCCTGTTTTGTGTTCCCAAACACTCAGCAAAACCTTTAGTGACAGGAATGAGCCTGTTCCTCACATCCCCTGGCCAAGACACTCTGAAACCTCCTCAAACCAGCTCTGGCCAAGCCTCAGGTGACAGCAACAGCAGAGTCACACTCAGGGCAAGATGAGCAGGATGGTGCTGTAATCCTGCCTGGAGTCATCCAGCTCACATCAGAACTGAACCAGCCCCATCAGAACTGAACACTGGGAACCACAACGTGCACCACAAGAACCGTCTGGCACCAGACCTTAGCCAGAAGTTGTTTTGTCACACTGTTCCCATGAACTGCTTTGGGGACAGAATCTGCAGACACTCAAGTCTTTGTGTTATCAGGTTTGCTATGAAGGGTAAGCTCACAACTGCCATTTCAGGAAGGGTTTTAATCCAAAATCCTTCCTACCTGCACCAAACCATTTCTGTCCAAGAAGAATCAGAAGCATTACAGTTGGAAAATACCTTTAAGAGCATGGACCCACCCTTTATAGAGATAACCAAATAAAACCCAACTTTGACTTTTTAAGATTTTCCACAACTTATTTTATTCTGGAACAGAAGAAAGCAGGGAACCACTTTTTCCTCCAGGCAACTGTAGATCAGGTCCTGGTGAAAAAAACCACAAACAAAAAACAACAGTATCAGAGCAGCTGAAAAGTTTATGATTTACACTATTTAATCTGGAGTACAGGTCTCAGCAGACAAAATGTTGCTCCCACTGCCAATGGCACTAGTACCCAAATTCTTTTTGGTTTTAGCGGTCCCTTACCCATGGTGTGGCTGCAGCAACAACTGAGCAATGAGGAGGAGCCTGTGGCTACACACAGGTGGCTATTTCACATATCAGCAGTCATTTGTGACACTCAGTCCAAAACAATCTTCTAGATCTGTGAGAAACCACAAAGCAAGACTGTAACGGTTTTCCTAAAGCATTCTGAAACAATTCCTACCTGTCTGGTCTCAAAGCACTGAGCAGCTTTTACTTTTCCCATTTATCATCAGGCTGCCTCTCCACTTCCTTTTCCCTGTTACATCCTGGAAGCTAAAAGCTCCAGGTGTTTGTCCCCAGTGCCTGGGAGACAGCTGTGCTGTCAGAGCACCCAATGTCCCTGATTTGTGGTACCATTCCCTCCCCTTTCACAAACCAACCTTGGCTCCTGATGACACTCCCTGTTCACCAGCTCTGCTGGGCAGCCTGTCAGAAGTTATTGACCTTCTGCAAACAAAGCCAAATTCTGTTCAATAAAGCATAAAATCATTTAGAAGAAGGCAGCTGTCAGCTGCCCAAGACAAAGTGCTGTTCCAGCCTGTGTGTTCAGTGACTGTACATCAGGCAAGATAAAAAATGCATTTCTTATCTGCCCTTCAACCTGTCACTATTTGCACAAGGAACTTGAAAGCTCTTTGCAGCTCTAAACTGTGCTATGACAACAGCAGCTCTGCTCAGCTCTGCGCCTGGGACTGCTCCTGGCTGTTGTCACACGGCACAGGGTGGCAGGACAGGGGACAGATTCTGTCACACTCACACCTGTGCACCCTCTGCAAGGGGCAGGGGACCCACTAAGGGAAGTACCTGAGCCTCAGTGGATATTTTCCTCAAGCTGAGTGTCAGACAGGGATAACAGCACATCACAGGCTCAGTGTCTGTCCCACCTCGGGCTACACAAGCCCCTCATGTTACCCAAAACTACACACAGTACAGATACCCAGCTGTTCTCCCTGGGGCTTTTCCTGGTAAACCTTTAGAGATTAGGCTCACCAGGTGATTCAATGTGCCCACAGGCCTGGTGTATAATTAATGAATTGAAAAAGAACAACACACAATATTGAAGAATTCAATTCTCTTACCAGCCTGAAGCCAAACATAGCAGCTGCCCTCTGGCCAAAGCTGTCTTTGGGCAACAGCAGCCCAAATTATGTATAATTAATGAATTGAAAAAGAACAACACACAATATTGAAGAATTCAATTCTCTTACCAGCCTGAAGCCAAACATAGCAGCTGCCCTCTGGCCAAAGCTGTCTTTGGGCAACAGCAGCCCCAGGATCCTGTAGGACCATTTCCTCCTAAATACAAGTTGCAATGAACACTGTTAGCAAAAATATTTTAAATAAAGTTTAAAAGAAAAGTCCTCTTTTCCTTATCTTTCCCCAAAAAAACCCCAGCACTGGATCACAGAGCAAGAATTAGACAGAAATTCTCCATTCAAAGACAGGCAACTTTTGTCTCACAAACTTAGCAGAGAGAAACCTGTCCCTCAAGATACAGAGGAGCATGTTTGCCAGGGGGCTGTCTCATTCACAGACAAGAAACGTTGGGAGGTGGATGCTATTAAAATCCTTGCTTAGGGAAAAACTCCACCAGCTCTAAGACGTTGGTGGTTTGGACCCTTTTAAGCTGCTAAATCTGACATTCTCCTCCTCATCTTCTAGAAACCTCCCAATCCAACTTGTTCCCTGCACGCAAGAATAACCATCCATCCATGGTGTATGGTGTAATCTGTCTATGGGTTTATCTTAAGAAATGCATTCATCAGACCTAGGACAGCCACATCCCCTCAGGTGATGGATTCCTCAGGGCGTGTCCTTCACAGGATGACCCTTTGGGGCAGGTGAGCTGCACCTCCCCACCCCCAGCAACCTGATACAAGTTTGAAACTGTCCCAGAGCACCTCCAGGTAGGCAAAGAGGGCAATTATTCTGTCACTAGGTGTATTTCTGTGACAGATACAGTTATGAGATGAGCTGTGTCAAGTGTCTCCATAATGGGCTGTCACCCAATCCCTCCTACCTCTAATCCTTCTACTCTGGCTCATCTCTGACCATGCTGACAAGCAGGTGCTCTGCTGGGCACCAATACCAGTAAAATTCCCATTCAATCCATGCTGCTTTTCAGCTTGTGCTCTGTGGCAGCAAAGGGCAGTACACTCAGGTGGCAACTGTGACAAAGCTACAGCCTTGATTGGCTTAATTACATTCATCAAGCCATTGAGGTTTTATATCCCCTCCCAGGAGCTCCAGGGATGTAGGAGGGTATTATTTGAGACAGCAAAACAAGTCCTTCTTCCATAACCGCCCAGGAGGAGAAAAAAACCCAGACTATGCCAAGACAGATGCAGCTGTTTCTCACCATCGTGCAGGGGCACTGTGGGTAAATCAGCTCCCCAGCCACGGGAGTGTTTTTACCCCTTCTTGACACGGTGTCATGCTCTGAAACCGAGAAAGGGGACAGAGTTAATTCAGGCAACAAATCATCCCTTTACCTTTGTGTCTCTAAAACTGAGCCTCAGAGTTATGCTTCCACAGAGGAAAGATCAAATTCAGACAGGGATAACTTTTATCATCACTAGCTCAGCTTCTAGATCAGCTAAAGAGTGGAGGACCACCCTAATGTCAAATCTGTCCTTGCCCTCGTGTCTGTCACGCTCCTCACCGGCGTAGCACCGACGCCTGCGGGTACACGCGGCTCCTCGGCCCCACCGTGCGCGGGGTCTCGGCCCGCTGAACCCCCACCTCGGGGTGCTGGGACACAGCTCCGACAGCAGCGCCCCGCCTGAGCCGCACCCGCTGCCCATAAAACGCTGAGCATCGCCCGCGGGTCCCGGCGCAGCCCCGTCACGGCCGGGCCGGAGCCCGCGGGACACAGAGCCCCCGGCCTTGCTCTCCCCATCCACCATGGCGGGGGGAAGGGCCAGTATCTCGCCCTCCCATGCAGCCCTACGGGCGGTTCGGCAGCGTACAGGAGTTCCCCGCACACCGTCCCGCCATCCCCGCGCCCCTCGAGGCCGCCGTGCCCGCAGATGGCGGCCGATGACGGCCGGGCCCACTCACCACACGCAGCTCTGGCGCCATGCTGCCTCAGAAACCGCGGGGAGTGCGGGACCGCAGGGGCTCATGGGAACTGTAGTCCTGTTCCGTGAGGGCTCATGGGAACTGTAGTCCTGTTCCGTGAGGGCTCATGGGAACTGTAGTCCTGTTCCGTGAGGGCTCATGGGCGCTGTAGGCCGGCCCCCTGAGGAGCGCGGGGGCTGACGGGACGTGTAGTCCCGGCCCTCAGGAGTAAAGAGCGCTCCTGCCCGCCTCATCCCACTCTTTAATGATATTTACTAATTATTTATTAATTCTTCATGTCCCCTGTTCATTATGGAGACACATAATTGTTCTTAGTAGGCTGAATGCTTCAAAAGGCTGAACATGCATTAGCTCATGGAGAAAGGGACTAATAAACTGAAAATCTCTTAGAGATTAGTCAGAGATTAGTTAGTAAATGTATGTGCCGCGCTTTGAACGTGCAATACTTCCAGGATGTGCTGTGATTGTGCTTTGATGTTAAAACATGATGTGAAATCCACAGGGTCCTATTTAGCTTATATATGAAACTATAAATGAAATTACAATTTACATATGAAACTACGGATTACTTAGCTTGTATATGAAGCCTGTGTGAACGTTAACAAAGTGCAAACAGAACCAAGGAGAAGAAACATAAGAGCTGTTAATGTCTACTTTCTTGCCCCAAAGGCTTATCCATCCTTGAGGTAAAAAGCTCCAGTGAATGGGAATGGAAAGTCAGCAAACCAGAATCTGAAAGCAGCCAAGTGTGAGTACAGATTCCAGCTCCTGAAATGTCTGGGAAGTGCAGGATTCGTGGTCCCTTGGGATGTTTGGATCAGAGGTGTGCCCACAGAAAGCTGCCAAGATCCCACACTCCCTTTGCTCTCCAGAATGGCCCACACTGTTTTTAAAGTTTCTTTCAAAAAGTTGATGGGCTGAAGGAAGCTGTAAGAAGGAAAGAAAAAAACGTGCAAGAAGGCTGCAGAAAGATGCCAGCGTGCTGTTATAAATAAGCTGCTTCCAACACAAGCAGCTGGCTGTGGTGTTCCCCAGCCCTCTGTGCCCCCCGCTAGATGCAGAAACCCCAATATTGTCCTGGCTGGGAAGAGCAGCCTGCAGAGTCCTGGGCTCTGACATGAGGACACAAGAATCTTCCTGCCCCACAGGAGCCTGTGGAATGGGTGCTTGGCCTGGTAGGAAGGCAGATGATGGCACAGAACAGCGGTAATTAACACTGCCTTCACTGAAGCAGCCTTTGCTCCATGAAGATTTGGCTGGTGATCTGCCTGGCTGATTTTAGCTTCTTAAATAAGCAAATGTAACCCATCTAATTCAACTAGAATTAGCCCTTCAAGGTCCCAAGGGAGGCAAATTTTAAAAAATGAAACAACTAAAATTCTCCTTAAGCAGAGTTCAGATCCTGGAAGGAGAGAAGATGTAACTTGGATGTGCTGAGGGATTTGCCACTGTCTTGATTTTTGGGTGGAAGCCACAGAGCCACAGAGCCCATGTGTACCTATAAAATGGGGAAGCTCTGCCAGGTGCCAAGTAATGAATGGATTCAACAATTAAAACCTTTTAACATTAAAATGTTAAAGAACAGCATGAGCTAAGCGTGCAGCCAATGGGATGTAATAGTTCATGTTTGCAGTGCACGGATAATGTTTCCAAGGATGTCTTGGAGTCAGAACAAAGACTCTGGGTGAAGAGGGATAGTCACCGCCTCGCCCATGCCCATGCTTTCCTAATTCTCTGCAACTTTGCCTGGGTGGAAATTAATCGCGTTTTCTCGGCTCTTTCCTTTAGAGGGCGACCGCATCCCACAGATGTCCGGCATGGACAAACCGGGAGCTGCAGGACACGGCAGAGCCTGCCCGAGGTCAGCAGGATGAGGTGGGTTTTATGAGGGTCTGTGAACCTTCCGAGATGTGAAGGAAGTTACAGCCTGGTCTGAGGGTTGTGTTTGAACATACTCTCCTTCCTCAGGCAGCTGCAGTGCTGCTCCCAAGGGCAGTTTGGACATAATTTGGATAGATTTCCTGTGGCCAATCTCCAACAGTTACGGTCTTTTCTTACTCCAGTCTCTGAAAGGTTGAACAAGTAAGAAAAGCTATGAAAAGGGCACGTAGATCTCCTGTACATGAACTTTTGGGGGCTGCTGTCAATTTCCCTGCAAAGGATTTGGAGGGGATTGCTTCCTCCTACAAATCATACCAGAGATCATTATCTGACAGAGGAAGGAAGGATGGAAAAACAAATGGAAATCAATGACAGAACCACTCCATCTTCAGCAAGGCTTTGATTCCATGCTCACATTGAAGGACAAGGTCATCGCTCAGTTTTCCACCCATTTCTTCTCTCAGCTGCCTGTAAATCCCTTGAGGGAGAAACTCTCCGTGGTTATTGACGGTAATTTGATTTCCTCTGATTTCCCCTCTGCCTGCCCCGGTCCCACCCTGCAGACAGGGATCCACAAAGCCTGGAGAAACAAAACATCTGTGTTCAGAGATGTTTTGCTGTGGTTATCTTCAACATATGGCCAGGGGGAAGCAGCCAGTGTGTTTGAACCCATTAAAAGGCCAGTTCCCCCTGGCAGACCCCAGCCCCCTGCCAGGCTTCAGTGCACAGAGCAAGAGGAGATGCTGAGGTGCAGGGATTGATGCTTGTTTCTGTCAGAAATGCTGGGTGCCCAACAAAAACCAGTCCCTTTGGGTAAGGCTGGAGATTGGTTATTGGTATTTCAGGTACCAGACTTCTGAGAGAAAAGATCTGTACTATGAGAAAAAAAAGCCTGCCACAAGGTCCTAGATCCTGGTGTCAGTTGCTTCAAATCAGTCTCATGGAATGGCAGAAAGGCTCTTTGGAGCTCAGCAGCACACAAGCAACATCTTCCCACACAGGACAAGGCACAGTGCAAACAAAACATCTTCCCTGCTCCTGGCAGAAAAGCTCTTAAGCCTTCATTTAATATTAAATACACGTTTAAACCTAAGCCCATTCCTCAGCATGTCTTGTGTGCTTATGTAGAACTTTAGCAGGATCAGAAATGCTCTGCTGTAACTGGAGGCCTGTGCACTGAATAACAAGAGCTTTGTGCTTACAGAATATCTGTGCAAAGAAGGGATGGCTTTTCTGGGATGGATTCTGCAGGTTGAGAAGAGAAAATGTTCCCCTTTCTCCTGATGGTGCAGAAGAAATTGCAGCTCTTGCCACTCAGCTGTTCATCCTGCTTCTTCCCCTTTTTCTCAAAATTGGGTTTTGAGCACAGTGCAATAAAACCAGTCTCAAGGTACTGTTTTTTGAGTGCAACACAGAATGGATCTTGGGGAGATTATGCCAGTGGGATGGAGACAAGCTGATCAACACTTTTGATCCTTCAGGTCTGTATTCCAGCCAGGCAAAGTGAGCCAGGTTCTGTTCCCAGCTCCTTGGAGGAGCGACCAGAACAGAGAACACACACAAAACATTCCAATACCAGTGCATGTACAGATAAATCCTAGGGCCAGATCGATGCATCTGTTGAAAAACAGCAGTAGGAGTCCAGCTTCTTCATGGATGAGCATGTTTAATTGAAATATATGCCCTCTGAGCATATCCAGAGATGGGAGATGTGTACAGCTACACAAATGCACCCAAAGGTAGCAGGAAAACTTAAACATTATAAAGCTACTGAGATCAGGAGAGAGATTTCCTTTTAGGCCAAGTTAGATGAGCAAGGAAAGGTGAGTTGTCCTTGCTTTGGGCAAAGAGATGGATCCTCTCTCTCCATTTTCTGTGTCAGCCTGAGTGATTACAGCACATTAAGCAGAAAGGGAGTGAGTTTTTGGTATAAAAACACCCAGGTGATATTAACGGGAAACTTCTCAGGCCCCCTTTTATCACAGTGTTTCTGTTTGCTTGGATTACTCGGCCAACCAGCCATTGGTTCAGCCATCCCCATCTGCACTGTGCTATAAGCAATATTTCATCTTTCAGGCTCAGATACCAGAAATATGCTGGGCACGCACAGAGCAAGTAAGCATTTTCTTGCAAGTAATTAGCATAAGCTGCACCGAGGTCAAGCAGTTGTGTCAGAGCACAATGCAAATCAACATTTCTTCCTACTGCAGATGGAAAATGGAGAATTGCAAATGTCATATCTCCAGCTCACCTCTTGCTTCTCACCATTTATTCCAGAGGAAGGAGATAATTGTTTTGAGGTACTTTTGAGAATAGCATCTCTGCTGCTTTCATTGCTTAATGGGGAAAAAAGTGTTTAAATGATGAAAGGCCACATTATTTCAGGATCTTTTAGATAATTTTTCTTGCCCTTGTGCAGGGAGAGCAGGCCAAATGCCTAATTTGACCAAGTCTGAAGGTAAACTGAGGCTTTTCAAGATGACAGAGGGCAGCTGGTTAAAGGACAGTGGTTATTCCTCCTGCTGCTTGTAAAAAGGTTTCTTGAGAACAGTTTTCCACTGACATCTGCTTGAAGGAGCCCTGCTGCAGGGCATCAGACCAGGGGCCACCCAGGCTCATGTCAATTTTGAGGGGTACAGATTCTGAGCTAGAGGTCAATTCACTGCCCCTGCTAATGAGTGTTCTCTGGAAAGGAGATTTCAGTAACTTTGTTTTCTATGAAATTGTTCAGTGAATCTGTAACAGCCTCCCTCCTGTGGGGAGGAGAGGGACCAGCTTCCTTTTGTTTGCTCCGTGTCTGGCTCCTGGTGGTTTTGTTTGGTGGCCCCAAGTTCCTGCACAGGAAGAGACCATAAATGGCCTTTTCTATCAGCCCTCACTGTATGGGCCAAACTCATGGATCTGCTTATCCTAGTCTTGTCTTCAGGCTCACAGGTGTGATCTCTTCAGAGCAGATCAAAGAGTGTAGTGCTGTTTTAAACCACTGTTTTCCTCCAGAACGAGATCTATCCACTTGCAGATGGCTTTTATGGTCTCTGAAGCTTCCCATGGATTAGCCTGAGTTTGACTGTATAAACATTTTCTCTATCCCACATCCTGCTTCCACAGCATGTCTCATATTCACTCCTCTGTCCTTTCACTCAATCCAAACATCC